CTACCCCGCCCATTCTCCTTCAGGGCATCACTGCAAGCAACAGTTAAAAAGCCAGAAAACCTGTTTCATCACTGACACAAAAGCAACAGCCATACCCTGCAGCAGCCTGGCCAGACCCTGCCCAGGGCACGGATTTTGTTCCCATTGGCTCAGAAAACCAGTGACCTGCTCTGCCAACAGCCTGCCAGACTTGGGGACATGCTAACCATGCCCCTGAGCTGCTTGGAAAAATCTGCCAGGGCATTGCCTCCTGTGGGGAGCGGGGGAGCCATGGAGGTCACTCAGCCTTCGCTGGAGGAAGGTGTCCCACCTGCATCCCCTCCAAAGGACAGGCTATGCTGGGGGAGGAATCAGGAGCTGGCCAAACACAGAGACGGGGTTGGAAACACCATCGAGCGCTGTGCCAGGCCACAGGCGAGCCAGGGATAGTGCAGAGCCTTTGCCATGCCCATGATCTGGCCATGAGGGTCCCATTTAATAAAAATGTAAGGAAAGAGAAAAAAGAAAGAAAAAAAGAACAAATCCTAGGAGTCAGCAGCCTGAGCTGCCACCCTGTGGCTGGTCCCAGGTTTTTCTCTGCTGGAGGAAAGGCCCGGCCTCAGCCACCTCCAGGTGGTCCCCGGGAGACTGGCAGGGGGCAGGACCCCCCTCCAGCCCCTCTGGAGTGGCCACTGTACCTCACCGAGCGCCGGTTCCTTGCCACTGGGCAGGTGTCAGGCCAGGTCCCGGAGGGGGGGAACTGGTGAAGAGGGGCAGTATGGACATGGCAGCTCCTTGCATGCTTTGCAGCCTCTGAAGCTGCGTGCAAGTAAGGGGCTGCTGCTGGCCACCTTGTGCAGCCCCTTGAGCTCTCCCTTGAGCCCCATCCAGCCCTTCCCACCTTCCCCTGCCTGTGCCCAGGTTCCTCATGTAGTCCTCCCTTACTTCCACGTGCCTGCCAACATGCACCCTTTACAAGGGGCCTGTTTGTACCCCCATGACATCCTCTGGCACCTGTCCTGCCTCCTCCTTGTTCTTTCAAGCCCCAGTTTAATTTGTTTTTCTCTCTGGGCAGTGGATCAGGCAATGGAGATGGAGTAAAACAAGCTAGTTGTTTTTTTAGCATGTGAATTTTAGGTCAGTTCCCTGATCCAGGTGTCTCATCACCAATGCAAGCACTTCCACCCCTGCAAAGTGGCCTGGGGCAGGTGCATGGAGCTGGGCACTGTGAGACTTCTCACATGCCTAGGACAGAGCCTGAAGTCCTGGAAGAGATCAGCCACGGGGTCCCGCAGCTGCCACCTCTCCCTGTGCCCAGTGATGATATCCATCACAGAGTAGAGGGTGCAGAGCAGGAGGGGGGCTGCCATGCCCCAAGCACCTGAGGAGTGCCCCAGGAGCGAGGCTGGAGTGGGGGCACATGAGACCTGGCCTCTCAGTGAAGGGCCGTCATGGTGGGGGTGTCAGAAGCAACGGTCCTGCCGGAGATACAGCGATGACTCCCCTTCCTGCTAATGCAACATGGGTCCATTGACTTCGACCAGCCTTTGGCTTGTGGCAAATGCCCACGGAGTTGGACACGTGCTCAGGGGTCTGATAACCGGAGCAGGACAAGATACTTTTGAAGTCCCAAAGTATCTTGCATAATCTGTATTTAAATTATATGGCCTGGAAGTGGTTGGAGGTCTGGGACAAGGACTCATCTGCCTGCTCCCCTCTGTGATAACGACATGTGGTTCGGGTAGGTCCAGTCTACCCCTGAAGGTTCCTGGGTCCTGATGAAATCAACAGCAAGGCGGCTGCTACTGAAGTATAAATACTGCAGACAGAGAGCAGTCAGGTTCCTGAGATGCTCAGCATGTCACACGTTTGCTGGTTTGTGCAACAGAAGGAAACGCAGGACCTTGGGCCTGGAGTTTGTTCGTGGTGAAATGAAACAGTGAACCTCATCATGCGTCAGCACCAGTGGGGATCTGCATGGGCAAGCGGTGGCTCCACACAAGCTGTTTTTGCAGGACTCGGGGTTCACCACCACCAGCAAGGTTCACTGCAGGATCGAGGTCTTCTAGCAATGCCTCGAGTGGCCCCAGCACTGCTGAGCTGAATGGCTTGTCATGCTGCCCACCAGAAGGAGGTACCTGGACCCACACCCACGCACAGGCAGGCAATTCGATCATTTATTGTCACAAACCCAGGCGCTTCTCTGCCCACAGCTCACCCTGAAGAGGGTAAAAGCGAAAAAATCCCAACCAAATACCCTGCCTACCCCATGCTGAGGAAGTAATTCCCAACATGTTTTTTTCACGAGGAATGCAACTGTTTTAAGTTGAATACCATTGCTCCTGTAAGGCAAGAAAATAAAAAAAATAAAATCTTTAGGACTTCACATGCGATTGTTTTATTTGCATACACTTCCAAGAGCCCAACTTCTGCTGATGGCGTATGTTTGGCTGCTGTAATGTCTGCTCCACTAAACAGAGATAACAAGCTGTAGCGCCCTGCACAACCACGCTGCATTTTACAGGCTGTCCTGCTCCAAATGCCTCCAGTCCTGCAGCCCGTCTCCAGAAAGGAACCACTGAGAGTCTCGCAAGCGTGGCTACGGATTTCAAGCAGGCAGCGTAGCACAATGCCTAAGTGCACTCAAAGGGTCCAGCAAGGGGGGAAGCTGTCCCCTGGGAATGCCGCACGACGCTTAGCCGCCTGTGCTGGTCTCAAGGGCCGTCCCCTCTCCCACCCAACCTGCGAGGCCACCACGGGGGCTCTTCTCCCGCCCTTCCACCGAGGAGCGGCCCTGCGAGGCAGCGGTGCCCGAGGCGGCCCGTTACCGACACGGGCCCCTTTCGCCTCAGGGCCGCTGCCGGCCCAGGCGCTACCGCGGCGGGGCCGCACACGCCACCTCCGCCCGGGCCCGGCGCCGCCGGCGGCCTGG